AACTCAAAGTGGATGAAAGACCTCAATGTGAGACAGGAATCCATCAAAATCCTAGAGGGGAACATAGGCAGTAACCTCTTTGACATCGCCCACAGCAACTTCTTTCACGATACATTTCTAAAAGCTAGTGAAACAAAAGCAAAAATGAACTTTTGGGACTTCATCAAGATAAAAAGCTTCTGCACAGCAAAGGAAACAGTCAACAAAACAAAGAGGCAACCCACAGAATGGGAGAAGATATTTGCAAATGACACTACAGATAAAGGGCTGTTATCCAAGATCTACAAAGAACTTCTCAAACTCAACACCCAAAAAACAAATAATCAAGTCAAAAAGTGGGCAGAAGTTATGAAAAGACACTTCTCTGAAGAAGACATACAAATGGCTAACAGACACATGAAAAAATGTTCATCATCATTAGCCATCAGGGAAATCCAAATCAAAACCACACTGAGATACCACCTTACACCAGTTAGAATGGCCAAAATAGACAGGGAATGAAACAACAAATGTTGGAGAGGTTGTGGAGAAAGGGGAACCCTCTTACACTGTTGGTGGGAATGCAAGTTGGTACAGCCACTTTGGAAAACAGTGTGGAGGTTCCTCAAAAAACTAACAAGAGAGCTACCCTATGACCCAACAATTGCACTCCTGGGTATTTACCCCAAAGACACAGATGTAATGAAAAGAAGGGCCATATGCACCCCAATGTTCATAGCAGCAATGTCCACAATAGCCAAACTGTGGAAAGAGCCAAAATGCCCTTCAACAGATGAATGGATAAAGAAGATGTGGTCCATATATACAATGGTATATTACTCAGTCATCAGAAAGGATGAATACCCAACTTTTACATCAACATGGATGGGACTGGAGGAGATTATGTTAAGTGAAATAAGTCAAGCAGAGAAAGTCAATTATCATACGGTTTCACTTATTTGTGGAACATAAGGAATAGCATGGAGGACATTAGGAGAAGGAAGGGAAAAATGGGGGGTGGGAATTGGAGGGAGAGATGAACCGTGAGAGACTATGGACTCTGAGAAACAAACAGGGTTTTAGAGGGGAGGGGGGAGGGGGGATTGGTTAGCCCAGTGATGGGTATTAAGGAGAGCACGTACTGCATGGAGCACTGGGTGTTATACGAAAACAATGGATCGTGGATCACCACATCAAAAAAACCAATGATGTATTGTATGGTGACTAACATAACATAATAAAAAAACAAAAAACAAAAAACAAAATTTCTGGGTATCTGTGAGGGTGTGTCCAGAAGAAATTAGCATTTGAATCAGTAGACTGATTAAAGATCTCCCTAACCAATGTAGGTGGGCATCATCCAATCCATTGAGGGCCTAAATAGAAGAGGAAGGGCAAATCTGCTCTGTTTGAACTGAGATACATATCTTCCTCTGCCCTCGGACATTGGTGCCCCTGGTTCTCAGGCCTTTGTACTTTGGATTGAACTGTACCACTGGTTTTCCTGTTTCTCCAGCTTTCAGACAGCAAATCTTGGGACTTCTCTGCCTCCATAATTATGTAGGCTAATTCCTTTTTTTTTTTTTTAAAGATTTTATTTATTTATTTGACAGAGAGAGAGATAGCGAGAGCAGGAACACAAGCAGGGGGAGTGGGAGAGGGAGAAGCAGGCTTCCCGCCGAGCAGGGAGCCCGATGTGGGACTCGATCCTAGGACCCTGGGATCATGACCTGAGCCAAAGGCAGACGCTTAACGACTGAGCCACCCAGGCGCCCTATGTAGGCTAATTCCTATAATAAATCACATATTCTCTCTCTCTCTCAATATATATATATTGCTTTTGTTTCTCTGGAGAACTCTGACTAATACACATGGTGAGCCAGATTTATTATTGCTGCTTTCATGTTAACCATTTATAACTTATCTTAACATACTCACTATCTGTGTCATTTAGTTTGTTAATGAGCTTTATTATACATTTAAGAAGTTCACAACAGTAATAGACTAAGTCATGCATTTCTTTTTTTTTTTTTTTTTTTGTATTACTAGTGGCTGTGGAGTGCAGCTTTGATGGGCACAGGTGCTCCCAGAGGTCTTATCTTATATGGAAGGACATAAGGAAACTCAAGTCCTCCATGTTTCCTTTTTTTTTTTAAGATGCTTTTTATTCATTTGTCAGAGAGAGGGAACACAAGCAGGGGGAGTGGGAGAGGGAGAAGCAGGCTCCCTGCAGAGCAAGAGCCTGATGCGGAACTTGATCCCAGGACCCTGGGACCATGACCTGAGCTGAAGGCAGACACTTAACCGACCGAGCCACCCAGGCATCCCAAGTCCTCTGTGTTTCTAATCATATTCTCATATTTGCAAAAGTATACTCAGTAAAAATAAAAAATAGATATAATTTTAAAATAAATATAGATGTGTTTAGTGGTAAGTAGAGTTTTGTCTGTGTGTCTCGTGTTTAACATCTCTACTAATGTGAGAGCTGGACAGTCAACCCAGCTATCCTGTGTCATTCCTTTTGCAGATGAAAAAACAAACAAACAAGCAAACAAAAACAAAACTCAAGTTAATTTAAGAGAAATTAGCATTATTATTTAGAGTGAAACAGAACTCAAAGTTTTTAGTAGCATTTTGTATCATGACTCCTCATGATGTGAGGCAATCAAATCATCACCAATAAAATGTCTCCAATGAGGAAACCAGATCAAAGAGGTCAAATAATTCCTCCTCGATCACATAACTCTGAGGCAGAGCATTAGATCAAAGATCAGAAAACCTGGCTGTAAGTCTTTCTGTATCTTCCACCCAAGAGTTTTGTGTTTTGGAAGTAACAACATTTGACCTCATATGAATCACCACCAAAGAGCTTAAATCCTGGAAGAAGATAAGGGCTAGCAAAATTTAAATAAATCATAACCCACAAAAATAGCCACAATTTTGTCAAACTATCAAATAGCAGCTCCTTCTTTCTTTTCAGGGTTTTTCTTGCTAGAGTTTACTCTTGGCTTAAGAGTAAAGATTTAAAGAGTTTGTATTTGTAAAACCTTGTTCCGATTCAGAACTACTCTCAACAGAACGATTCCAAAAATGCTAGTTAGTACAATTCTAGTTGAGAGTAGAGGATACCTAAAGGTGTGGATTGTGCCAGTTGGTTTCAGCGCTACAGGCTTGAGGCAAATTCAAGTCCTAGCTCCACCAAAAGATGACCTCTGATTGAAAAAAAAAAAAAAATAGAACTAGTTATGTTCACCATTGCATTCTTAAGGGCTAATACAATTCCTGACATGATAATTTTGAGTGAATGTTCTGCTGAAGCATGCCATGCCTGGGAGTGCAGTTCTTTTTTTTTTTTAAGATTTTATTTATTTATTTGACAGAGAGAGACACAGCGAGAGAGGGAACACAAGCAGGAAGAGCGGTAGAGGGAGAAGCAGACCCCCTGCTGAGCAGGGAGCCCGTTGTGGGACTCGATCCCGGGACTCCAGGATCGTGACCTGAGCCGAAGGCAGTCGCTTAACCGACTGAGCCACCCAGGCGCCCTGGGAGTGCAGTTCTTGAGGAAATATTCTCTACTTTCTATATCACATCCTGACATCAAGACATATGGGGAAGTTAAGTCCATTTTAAGATCCTCTTGGTGTCTAGATCCATATCCAGCTAGCCTGGATGTATGAGTTATCTAACTGTGTAATAGTGCTGCTGAACAAGCAACCAGGAAACCTCACAGATAGGCCACAACAAACATTTGTTTTGGTTATGTGTCTCTAGGCTGTCTGGGTGGTTCTAAGGATTTAAACTTGATTCAACAAAGTTCATTCATTTATCTGTGTTTGACAGCAGGGGTGTTCTTACATATTGAGGATCTGGGATATCTGACCAGGTCTCATCTTGCAGCAAGCTAGTCTGAGGATATTTTCTCAGCAGGGACAGAAAAGAGAGAAGATGAGAGAAGGGGAAAGTGGTGTGACATCTAGACGCTTAACCTCAACACTGTCACTTCTGTCATGTTCAACTGTCCAAAGCAAATCATATATTCAGGCAGATTCAAGAAGTACAGAAACATTCTTCTTTTATGATTGGAAAAGCTGTAAAATCACATTGCACAGAAAACAGATACAGAGTGGTGATGGAGCGGGGAATTGGGGCCATTTTTGTAATCGATATAGGACACCTGGGAACCCGAAGCCCAGCATATGATGCACGTTCCTTCTCAGAGTGAGTCATGGCTACAAAGCTAGATCTCCATGCTATTTCCCAGTAGACCAAGAGTAGCGATATACTCTCTAATTTCCTCTCCATTCCATGGTGCCCACCACATTCTCTCATCGTTGGCCTGTTCTCTCTGGCATTTTATCCAGAGATGTTTCCTGTATACAAGGACAAAATTAATACCCATAATGAGAAAGAGGCAGAGGCACTGTCTTACTAGAATGGATGCCCAGCAGCCAAAACAGGCACTGATGCTGAACAGCCAGCAGCTTTGTGGCTGAACATCAGCCCTCCATTTCCCATGAGAGAAACTTGTCACAACTGCCTTAGACCCAAGTTCACCATGCCTCTGAAATATCTGAGGCAGAATTTTTTTTTTTTTTTAATTTCAGGTATATACTCTAAGTAATCCATTGATAATGTGAAATTCAGTACAAAATTCTCAATGCATATGTACCCTTTTCTGGAAAGAAGATCTGTAATTTCCACCATATCCTTAAAAAAGAGTCCATGACTCAGAAAAGTTAAGAACCAAGACTTATTTGGGCTAAACTGATAAATAAATCAGTACACTCAAATGCCACAGAACAGAGTAGACTTCACTCTCCAGCAGAACACTTTCAAATCCCCTAACAGGATATTTTTGATGTAATTTAGAGACATTTTAAGGACCAAAGGGAGCAGCCTCAAGGCAGGTAAATTTGTAGGGCTGAATCTCATACTTCTGAAGAGCTGCTTTTCCAGAAGAGTTCCAGTAGCCTTAAAAATATTCCCAGCCTGATAATGTTTTCAATAATTTTAATTTAATAGGAATTTGATGATATATAAAGGCAACCCCACCTTGCCTCCCAGAGCTTTATTTGTCACTGATCAGGAGGGCACTGAGAACCATCATAGAGAAGAGAAAGTACTCAGAAGAAACTTGAATCTAGTCATCAGGTAACCACCATCATTTCTGTTCCACATGGAGAAGTTCAACAATGATTAAGATCATATTCACGTGCAATCACAGTCCTCCTGCCTTTTATTAATCATATAATAACAAAGGAAATGGTTGGGATTTTATAAAGAATGTTATTTACTTTTTAGTCAAGGCTGAATACTTTCTTCTGGGAACCTGGAGTAGACAAGCCTGTTTGGGTTGAGATCAAAGCACACATGCTGCTGCCTGGAATAAAGACAGAAAATACAGTGAGGGAAGAAGCATTTTTGTGTGTGTGATGAAAAACTTTGGGAGAAGGATAAAGGCGCCCTGGAAATTAGTCTTAGAACTTACACCGTCATAATTAAGTAGCGTTTACAAAATGTCACTTGACCCCAGTGTCTAATTTACCTCTCAAGATTCAGAAAGAAGTAACTTTTAGCATATTCTTAACATTTTCTTAGAAACCTCATTCTGAAGGCAATCACAGGCTGTGCCATTTCTGGACTTTCTGAGTTCCTCTCTCTTCTTTATTCTCCTAAACAGAGTCAGAAAGCCATAGTCATTTCTATTTCCCAAGGAGAGTTGCATCAATGATTGGTTCATACCCACCATCATCACACTCAGCCAGTCCTTGTTAATAATCCTTTTGATTAATCCTGTTGTTTTCCTCCCTCCAAGTAGAAGGTCTTTTCCTTCTATCAAATACTTTAAAATAGTGTCTAAGTCATTTCAGTATTAGTAGACCTCTAGGTCAGACAAAATATATTTTTAATTTTTAAAAGAATTAATTTTTTAATTTTCTTCATGTCACCAGAAACAAACTCAAATGAACAAACAACAATAACAAAACAAATAATACCCTCTAACAAAAATGTACCAGATGCAATTGTGACCTTAAACTGAGTCCTCACTGATATTATAATGAGACTGAGAACATTTTTCTACAAGTAAACAAATCTGCATTCATCTGTTTCGAGGGGAAAATAACAGGGGAGAGCACTGTGAAAATGCTCAAACCTAGAAAGGAAGGACCTAAATTTACAGATCCTGCAATGGCGGGGACCCTTTGTAAGGTGCTTTCCAGGTGTGATTTTATTCTCTGCTCATAGAAAAGCTATTTTACAGAGAGAAAATAAGTTCCTGGAAGAACTTTCAACAACCCACCCAAAGACTCTGTTGATGGGTTTTGAAGAAAGGATTTCAACACAGAGATGCTTGATTACATCGTGTGCAAAACCTCTGCTCTTACACAACAGATTTTGAATCAGGCAAGAGCAGAGGAAACTAAATCAAGATTGCAGGTAAGATCCTTTAATTAGCACGACTAAAATTAGCACCATACAACCTTTAAGAAATGCTTGAAAGTGCGATATGAAAAACAAAAACAAAACCTGCCACCTTTCCCTGGGGTCTGCCTAAATCCCAGAGGTTTTTTTGTATTTTTTCCCTATAAAGGACACATTGCCTGTAGGCCAGCATTTACATCTTATTTTGAATCTATCAGCAACAGCTTGCCTTTTACACTTCTGTCCTTGAGAATGTTCTTCAAGCCCCAGCATCTTTTTCAAAGTCTGTCTCTTACTTTGTAACTCAAATGCAGAAGCAGAATTTCCCCTCGAGAAAACATTTGGAACCATCTCTTAATTTAGGGGATGAGTCAGAATCCAGCAGGGCCATCCCATGATTCTATAGCATACAATTCACTTTTTGGCATCAGACCAGCAAGACAGATTCATAAAAATAACAAGAAAGAATAATTCTTTTAAGATCCCATAAAAGTGAAAAAGACCGCTTAAAAATTCTTATTATGTTTATATGCATCAATGGATTCAATTACAGCACTGTACAAGGAACTTTTAGTATTTATCCAAACATTTTCAATAATTTAATCATATTTTTTCATGTTGCCTAACATTTGCTGGCACCAGCAGCGTGCTAATCTCCATAGAGGCCTTAGAAATCAAGGATAATGAGCTCCTACTGCCAATCCACAGGAAGGTTTGCAATTTTTGCTGTGATGCATTGTAGGAAGCAAATTGCAGATTCGCCATCACTGAACAAACAGCGTGAAATGATAACTGAAACAAAGATGATGAAATTAGGAAGAAATGCGTGCATGAATCTATAGCCCTAAATTTAGGCCAGAAAAACTGCATAAACACAAAGTGGGGAAAAGTAGTCTAAGAGTAGGGCTTGTGACAAAGATTTAAAGATATTTTAGTTTAGGTTTAAAATAAATTATCATAATGAGGAAGCTCTCCAAAAAGCAAATGCTTTTTCGGGCTTTATTAATAAATGTAAAGGCTTAAGACAAATGATGGTTCCACTTGTTGTTGAGTGACTCACCTGCTAAATGGGCTGTTCTCTGGAAGGAGACAAGACAATTTGGAAAATCCCCATGTGGGGAATGATGAAAGGAAATAAGAATGCTTAATTTAATTTATGTGAGTGGACTTAACATGAAAATAAAGGACCACTGTCTTCAAATGTTTGACAGGAGGTCATCTAGAAAAAGGATTAAAATGCTTTTCCTTGGCTTTGACAAGCAAAACAAGGCCCTGAAGGTAGAAATTATAGCCAGGGTCATGTTGGCTTAAATATGGAAAAGTTTCTAACCCTGGTCGTACAAGTGACCAAACTGTCCCCGGAGTACTGTCTTGGGTTTCTGGTGCCAGAGGAGAAGATATGGGAAGAAAGATGCTATGTCTACTAGGAAGTTGCTTCTAAATGACTTCTGTGTTCCTAGACTGTGAAGGAGGCTGAACTAGGTATATTAATAAGAATAAGCTAAAGGGAGAAAATGATACTTTTTTTTTTTTAACGAATGTAACTTAAAAATGAGAATGTGTATAGGAATAAATCCTCAGTCAAAATACAAATATCCTATGACCGATGTCTTCACCGTGTTCTGAAAGTTCTCTTTGGTTCAATGTTTGCTTGTCTTTTAATGTATTTTGTTCTTTTTGAAGATAAGTCTGAAACTACAAAGGGAAGCTTCTGCCTCACTCTTTTCTCTTTGACTCTGGATATTTCTTTAGTAGTAGTGGGTAGGATTAATTGTACAACCATGATCTCTCTTAGGACACACGCAGTACCACCCAAACCCTTTGTAACTGAGTAATCTCAAATCACTCAGGATTTTTCTTTCTGACTAGACTGACAAGTCAACTTTCTCAAATCCTCCTGAGTCTAGGTGATGGGGCTGACTCTCCAGAGACAGAGATTAGGGGTATCCTTTCCTCATCCCACAAAAGCTAGTCAATACCAACAGAACGCCATCAAAACATCCTTCGGAGGAAGTTCAATGTAGTTCTAAAGTAAATCATACATTTCTGATTACCTAGAAGTTTACTATACTAGTTTATATAGTTTACTATAAAAATAACAACAAACCTCTATTTTTGAGGAGTGTCAGACTTGCTGGTGCAGAGTCACAGGTACAGTCCTGAAAGAGGCATGATTATAAACAACATCAGTTGAAAAATATAAATCAGAATGCTATAAGCTGCTTATACTTAAAGATAGAGGAAATTTCCAGAAAATGGTGGTTTCCCACAATTACCTTCTGCACTAATCTTCACTAAAAGTGAAGAATATAACTCTGTGCCTGCCCATTATTGAGACTTCCAGAATGCATTCTTTTCCCTAGGACTATGTCCTCCTTGCACCATTCTTACTATAAATTCTTAAATATTATCAATGTCTCCTTTCTTTCCTTTTTCCCTCTACCTCTCCTTCCTTCACCCACCTTTTCTTTCAGTGACAATCAAGGGCTATTTCTCTGGCTTGTCTTTAGGCAATCTGTGTAGAAAAATGATAGAACTAGGTCCACTTATCTCTAGAAAACAAGACATTCAAGGGTCCTGGAAAAGATATTGAAATACACACACACGCACACACAATAATTGTATATAACTATACAATTATTTTTTGTATAATTCAACATGATGATATTTTTAAACAAGAAACTAATTATTCCCTGCGGCGCCTGGGTGGCTCAGTCGTTAAGCGTCTGCCTTCGGCTCAGGTCATGGTCCCTGGGTCCTGGAATCGAGCCCCGCCTCAGGCTCCCTGCTCCGCGGGAAGCCCGCTTCTTCCTCTCCCATTCCCCCTGCTTGTGTTCCTGCTCTCACTATCTCTCTCTCTGTCAAATGAATAAATAAAATCTTAAAAAAAAAAAGAATCTAATTATTCCAATAATTTGCATACACTAACTAAAACTGGGATGAAAATTAGAGAATGCTGTTTCTGCAAAACAGTATCTGCTTTTACCAAGCTAGAAAGTATTGCTTGTTTTTTTCATCATGAAAAGAAAAGCCTGAGAGCAGTTCCAGCTCTCCACACCCTCCAGGTATAGGACTCTACTTCACGGCTTATCACCATGCCAACTGAAAACATCAGATTACCAGCTGAGAGAGCATGGCCTGTGGATCATAGCCTTCACCTGTCAATTTGAGTATTGAAACAACATCCAAGGACACTGATTTTTTTTAAAATGAAGTCAGTGAAAGGAAAGGAACTGCTACTGTCTGAAATATTAAATTCTCCTGGGACAAGTTAGAGAAACCTTCCCCAAGCTTAAAAAAATAATAATAATAAAGAAGGAACCAACAAATTAGTTTCAAGGCAACTGACACTTATTCATACTTATAGGTTTCACAAATGCTAGGCTGAGAATAAAAGCTTATAATTTTGGTACCAGCTTTCCACAGGAGAGACTAAACACAATTACAAATGATAAAAACTATATACACAGAATCCATTTCTTTGTTTAAAATTGTGTGTATTCAAAGCAGTGGGAAAGCTAGCAAGAGAGAAATAGTCTGTCCAGAAAGCCTCCCAGAAGAATGTAAGCAGTGCAGAAAAAGAGCTACTTACGAGTCAAATTTAGAACTCAAAGGTACCTTAAAACTATTTAATCCACACTTTTATTTTTCAGAAATGGAATTAAAGAGAGGTTGTGAATAAAACGAGCTGGCAAAATTCACATAGGGAAAAATCACACTGAAGCTCAGATCTCCTGAGGACTTCATTCAGAGTTCCTTCTATCCACCAAACATTCTATTTTGTAAGCACTTACTTGGCCCTAACACATGGATGGTGGTTGCCGACTTGGGGAATCACATAAAGATAAATGGTCACCCTAACAGTTTATGTTATAGGAGGAAGGATACAATATAAAGAGATTTTCTAACACACAATATAAAGACCTTTGTGCCATAAAGGAAAAATGGTATAATCTCTACTTTATGAAACACAGCCTTTGAGAACTGGCAAATACTCAGCAAGTTTATAAACAAAGCCCATGACCTGACAGTTTGTTGTTGTTGATGATGATGCTGTTAAAATATACAGAGTCAGTATTTTATGGTCTATGAAAGCTACTTTTGATTACAAATTATTGGGCCATACTGTTTCTTTTACCTTTTAAAAATTATCTGTTTTTCTTTTATCTTATTTAGTAATCTAACAATACATTAATTGTTCTGATTATGAATAAATTTGTAGAAAATTTTTTAAATTTTTCTTGGTATTCTTCTGGTACATTCCCATTGAAAAGTGATTCTGGTAGAACAATTATGAAAGACTCCTAAAATACTGCACTACTATCTAAACCCTAGCACAGTGCAATACATTGCTTCCAAATAAAAATTAGTTAAGTTAGTAATATAATACACTCTAAATTTATTTAGTAGATCATGAAAAATTAAGTCAACCCTCATTATTCAATGAGAATCTAAAGGAGAATATATTAAATACATATTTCCTTTGAAATGAATCTATTCATGTTACATTTTGCATATAAGTTTTACTCTTGGCTCTTATGCTATCCATGAAAATCTCTTCTGGAAAGTAATCTGGGGAGAAAAGCCAAAATGTGAACTTGTTAAAGACAATGAAGACAGTCTCGTGTATGCCAAGAAGTTTAGGGATTACTTGGAATGATCTTTTATGTTAAATGTTTTCCTTTGTTATCAGAAAGAAATGATGGAGATAGGGAGACTCTACAGTTTCATTACAAAATAAATTCCTTTGACAATTAAATCCCAGCTTTAATTTTATGAACATTTCAAAAAATACAAGAGAAAATTATTTCTTCATTTCTTTCTCTTCCTGTTATCAGGCCCCTAGAAAATTCCAGAAGTTGTTGGTTTGTAAAGCATTTTCCTACAATATGTCCTTTTTACATGTGAGCTTTATAGATGAAAACAATTCCTGATTAAATAAGTGGAAGACAATCGTTTTGTCCCCCATCATACACTAAATCTGGCAAGCCATTCCAGGATATTTAGATTATCCTACTAATCTAAAATCTGAAAACCACACAAATAAACAACAATAAAAAAGGGAGAAAATGGGCGCCTGGGTGGCTCAGTTGGTTGGACGACTGCCTTCAGCTCAGGTCATGATCCTGGAGTCCCGGGATCGAGTCCCGCATCGGGCTCCCTGCTCAGCGAGGAGCCTGCTTCTCCCTCTGACCCTCCCTCCTCTCATGTACTCTCTCTCATTCTCACTCTCTCAAATAAATAAATAAATCTTTAAAAAAAAAAGGGAGAAAAGTTCTGAAGAAAACAACAAAAATAACTAAAAGCAACTTAAAAATAAATATCTATGAAAGATCTTTCTTTTAAATTGAGTTTCCTCACCTCCCGTCCACAAACCATAACTGAATTTGGAAAAAAAACAACCAATCTAATTTTTCAAAGTAGGGTAGAAACCATGAGAAACTTTCTGGGTTGCTGTCTGTAGGTTAAATGCCAGAAGTCTATTTTAAGACTAAATTTTGTAGTTTCTGTGAAACTCTCTGGGATTCTGCAATCTGAATTGATAAGACTAGATCAAGTGCAAATATAAAACAGATGCTTCTAAAATATGTCTGAAAAATGTTTAATGGTATTTTTTTCCAGTTTTATTGAGACATGATTGACATACATCATTGTATAAATTTAAGGTGTACAGCTGGATGGTTTGATTTACATATACTGTGAAATGCTTGCCACAGTAGGTTCAGCTAACACCTGTCTTCTCATAGAGATACAATAAAAAGAAGAAAGACAAAAGGGAAAAAATGTGCTTTTGAGAACTCATCGGATTTACTGTCTTAACAACTTTCCTATATAGTAGCCCTCCTCCTCCAGTCCCTTATACGCGGTTTCACTTCTCATGGTTTCAGTTACCCACAGTCAACTGCGGTGCAGAAGCAGATGATCCTGCTTCTGACATATACTCAGAAGGTCAGTAGGAGCCTAATACTAGATCACAATGTCTACATCAGTCACCTCACTTCATCTCATCACGTGTGCATTTTATCATTACTATGTTGCCATCTTGGTGACATCGCTCCCTTATGGCACTTTTTTAATGGTACTGATAATGGTACTTAACCTTTCCCAGTTTAGTATCCTGAATGTTCATAATCAATAAATGTGGAGAAACAATTTGATCTCCCTTACTTCCTGTGTTACTATTCTCGGCTTGCCATAACAAAGTGCCATAAATGGGGTGGCTTAAGCAACAGAAATTTATTGTCTCAAAGTTCTGGAGGCTAGAAGTTCAAGATCAGGTGTCAGCAGGGTTGGTCCCTTGTAAGAGAAAATTTGTTCCATGTCTCTTTCCTAACTTCTGGTGGTTTGCTGGAATCTTTGACTTTTTTTGGTTTATAGAGACATCGCCCAGATTTCTGCTTTCATCTTCACATGAACTTCTTCCTGTGTGTGTGTCTATGTCCAAATTTATCTTTTAAGTAAGGACACAGTCATATTGGATTAGGGGCCCAGACTACTCAAGTATGACTTCATTTTAACTTTACTAATTACATCTGCAAAGACTTACCTATTTCCAGTACCTATTCTGAGGTACTGAGATTTAGGACTTGAACATATAGATGTGGGACATGGGACGCAAAGTTCAACCCATAATTCCCAATGGACAAAGAGAGAAGTGTGAAAACTAATACTGTAACATAAAAATGATAGTTTTTCAATATGATTTCAGCTGAAATTCCAATCAGGTGATCATATTTGCAAATGTAGAAGCCAAATAATGAAATACACTCATTTACTTAAAGAAATTTAGGTTTTGATATTGATTGTATGCTACTGATTAGAAGGTTAAATAAATGGTTAATAAAAAATATATTTTTTAATTTGCGGCTAAGGAAATATATTTTTCCAAAACTTTTTCTCTCTTTTCAATCTTATTTTTATTCTTGTTTCTCTTTTTAAAATTAGATGTTATTTAGCTAGTTATAATATAAAGTTTTAATGCCAGGGATATACATAATGTGTTCAGTGCAGTTAGGTCTTGGTTTGTCATCGTTTTGTTAAATTAATAGACAGAAAACTCATTCTTTGTAGCATGTATGTTTTGCTAAAGTTTACTTATCAAATTAAAAAGCAGTATTTGGTACAATTTAAAAATATGCATACCAATTAAATATATTTT